CCAGACTCTGTAGGGCAGAGTAGAATCCCCTCTGCGCGTGTTTCTGAGACTGCAGCTCTACAGGGGTCGACAACTTATCTTTCTCCTGAGAAAGTTAATGGAAGGCCCATTTCACACAAAGTGACTGGGTGGGCGTGTGGTTGGTCTGCCAAGAGCCGGTGGGCTTCCCTCCCTTCCTGCCAGTGACGATCGCACTGTGGGCTTCAGCTAGAATTACCTGCTGGGTAAGAATTGCTGGGATTCATCCAGGCTTCCCGCATGGCCTGCGTCATGACCTGCATAACCTCCTGCTCCAAGGGGGTGGTCGAATTGAAGTCCATATAAATGTTCCTGAGGAAAAGAAAACAAGGGCATGCTAACAAAGGAGGAGGCTGGATTTGGTGTTTGGGGCCTTGCACAAACACAGGGCAGATCACACCCAGCGCAGGTGCTGCTCTGCGGAGAGACTGGGCAAAGTCTCCACTTACTGCCGGACAGGCTACGGACCCTCCCTGCTCACAGGAAATGAAGGCATGCTTTCCAGGACTGCGGGCCAGCTCCCAAAACTCTCCTGTTGCTGTTGTTAGTAGCTGGTTCCTGATTTCAACTCCTGGTGACCGCACGTGGCAGTGCAGAGCTGCCCCACAGCTGCCCAGGCTGTACCATATACAGAAGCAGACTGCTGGGCGTTTCCTCGAGGGGCCACCAGGTGGGTGTGAAATGCCCACCTTTAGCGGTCGAGTGCTTAACCTTTGTGCCACAAGGGTCCTTTGTGCCTGAGGCATAGCGGGTACTACGATAGAGGCCCAGTCTCTGGCTGGGGCCACATACTTCCATGGACTCTTCTTCAATTTGGCCTCTTCTACCTCGTGAGGTTCCCCCAGTCCCTCTTTGTGTAAAGACCTGTGAAGCTCTAGGCCTGTTTCCCAAAGTGGCTATCCGCCCCCCCCCCCCAGGGGGCACTGACGATCCAGGGGGCTGCAAAAGCAGACACCTGCACGTTATCCTGGATGGCAGGCTAGAGTAGGAACGTTTTTAATTGCCAGGGGGCAGAGTTTCTCTTATTTTCCTGAAAGGGGCAGGCGCCAATATGTTTGGGAACCTAGGTCTGGCAATCTGGTGTCCACCACCCACCCCTCCTTTTGCTCCCAAGCTGCAGTGACCAGGATGGTCATCTCGCACTTCCCCATTCCTTTGGACAATCCCCACCCCCAAGTCCCCAACCCTCAGCTTTGTTCTTGAGACCTTTGCTCCGACTTGGCATCATCATTTCCTCGCCTGTTTCTTCATCCCCCTTACCATCACCTGGTGTGCTTGATCCATCCCTTGTTCCTGGTCTACCTCAGCTGTCGCCCAGCTCCCATGGGGGGAGTCTGTCTGGTTTGTACACCAATGCCTCCCCAGGACCGATAACAATGACTGGAACCTGACAAGGCCTCCATTTACTCAATGACAAAGTCAATATCACAAAACAGACCAACCCCCTGGAAGAGCCCCCAGTAAATTTATCCACATATATTGTATATACTTGTGTATAATTCAGCGCATCTTTAATGCACTTTTGGGGGTAAAATTAGGTGCCTCAGCTGATATTCAGGTTGGCTTATATTCAAGTACAGTATATAGGTACACATAGATTTTTTTAACTCATACCAAATCTTTAGAAACTATAATTCCTGTTTACAGTAGGTAATCCATCCTCATGCTCTTACCTATATTACCTGATTGTCAAGTCAACAATGGTGTTTAAACCAATTACATGAAACTTCCATTGCAAGTATTAACAATGATTTAAATTTTGTTTTTTATAAATCATGCGGCATGGCCAAATCTATGTTACTTTTAATGCTGCATCTTTTCTATAAGCTATTCAGAATCAATACATACAAGGCTTTGGAACGTTTGATTCATCCTTTGCCACTGTGGTATTCTTCTCCTGGTTATGCTGTACTCCCCCTGTGTACCTGCATTGCTTTCATGTCCTATAAATAAGGACCCCAAATGAGTTAAAGCAGGCCAGTGTTGGGGGCGGGGGCAAAGCGTTTACAGAGGTTGCATCGCTGAGTAAACGTACAGCTTGAGTTACAGGTGAATATTTTACCTACCACTTTGCTCCGTTACTTGGTATTTCTTTAAAGTGAGACCAGTATCAAGAAAATGAAGCTCTTGGGTCTCCTATGCTGTCTGCCCCACCCCACCCCCAGTTTTAAAACGCAATGGAACCCCTTTTTACTAGGGGATGTTTTCCCAGCTCCCATTCTATCCCAAGCAGAGTAGAAAGCATAATGAAAGATGGTCCGGCTTTGAGGTCTGGCCCCAAATTTGAAAACACATGCCAGCTATTCTAGACCTGGGTAGTAGATTATTCCTGACTGGGAGAAATATGATTCACAAACTGAAAACTGCACACTCTGCTCTCTCCCCTGGGGAAGGTGGTTCTAGAATCTAGATGCTGAAGCATGAATCAATCGTAAGGCCCTTCTGCCTCCCCGTAGCTAAACCAAACCAAACTGACTGCCACTGAGTAGATCCAACTCATCCTGACCTTACACAGGGTTTCTGAGACTATAGCTCTTTATGGGAGCTGACAGCCTCATCTTTCTCCTGCAGAGCAGCTGTTGGGTTTGAACCACTAACCTATGGTTAGCCCAATGGCTAACCCACAGTGCAACAAGGGCTCTCTGTACAGGTCACCCCTTTCTCACTTGCTGAAGCCAGCAGCTGGGAAAGGTTAATAGTACGCATCTCCCCTGCTTCAATAAACCGGCGGGACCCTTCTGCGGGGCACCTTAGCCCCTATCCACTGCCACCACGAGAGTCCAAGTGACCACATCCCCTCTGATTAAAACATTTAAAAAATAGGTTTCCCTGACTCCTCTGACCCCACACCTACCCGACCCTGCTGTCCACAAAGCGATCGCAACGATTTCTTGAAGCGCCTCTCTCCCCGCTGAAACGCCCAGGACCC